GTAGCCTCTTGGATAATGTCACCAAGACAGTGACATTGTCGCCTTCGTTGGGGTTAATTGCGAAACATTTATCAGATATACAGAAATATATATTAATCACATTCTCCGTGTGTATATATATATATATATATATATATATATATATATATATATTATATATATATATATATACATTTCTGTATATATGCCATATGGAGTAAGATATCTAACATAATGTTGGCATTTTCTCTTATTACAACCGCCTCCATAATATAGAGTCGTATTTGTCCTGGTACTTTCTACTAAATATTACTACTTATTTCATATTATTTTACTTATTTCTCATACGTGCATGTATATGTTGGCGCATTGCACTAGTGTTCGGCAAATGACAAGTCAGCCTACGAGAAAGAGTGGAACATTTGTGGCCAATGTCAGAATTTAATGTTGCTTAGTGATTATTAATGTTGGAGATAGAAACCCAAAGGACATAACAATTCACAACAACATCATTCTTATATAGATTTTTGAGGTGAATATTTTTATAACTGATGATATATCTAAACTATATGTTAGGATATATAACTTTTATATGACATCAGATTAATACTTTAATAGCCATTTCATCTTGTTTATAATTAGGATAAATCTGGGTGCAATAAAACTATTTAATGAGGGCTTTATTTTTGTCTCAATAAAGTTAGTTGTTTATATGAATTTTTTTTCTAAATTTCATTAAAGATAATCATGATTCTTCATCAAAAGAATGGTATGGAAAATTATCGCAGACATTGTTTTATTGGGAATTAAGCAAAATAAAACAATGAACACCAATAGGATGGAGACCTCAAGCAACAGTGGAAAGAGCGATAACATCTACTGGACATTAAATTCCTGAAAAATTGAGAAAGACTCTATAAATTTCAACCAATAATTGTACTGGCTACTTTAAGTCTCACAAATTTCAGATACAACGTGTATATATATATATATATATATATATATATATATATATATATATATATATATATATATATATATATGTGTGTGTGTGTGTGTGTGTGTGTGTGTGTGTGTGTGTGTGTGTAAATAAGGATAAAATTTAAGAAGTCTAATAAATATACATCATGGTAACTGAAATTATGGCTGAGACTCGATGATCTAATTAATGTCTAATAAACAAAAGTGAGTAAATGTTGTTAATGATGGTAAGGAATCTTTAGTAATTTAGTAATTAGTATTTACATCATTTTAGTTTGAGATTGATTTAGTCATATCTGAATGTTTACACACATGCATATATATATATATAAATATAAATTTATTTATGTATATATACATTTATTTAATTTAAATTAAATTAAATTATATATATATATATATATATATATATATATATATATATATATATATATATATATATATATATGTAAAGAGAGTGAGAAATAAATGTTTATTTATATTCCTACTCAATGTTGCACATATTTTCGCTTGTGTGGTAATGTAAATGTATTGAATTCTTCAAAAGGTGTCACATTTATTTTTTTTAAATACGTAACATAGACACTTGTGCAAATTAATTGAAACAACTGCTTCAGTTTTCTTTCATTCACCACGGGGATAACATGGTCTGATCGATTTCTATTTTTTACTCATATTTGACCATTTGCAGTGGTATGCTGTAATATGAATCTATTTTCGGGGTGTATGATGAAATATGTTTGGCCTTGAACAATATTGCGTCATCCCTGACTGCATCAGATTTTTATCACGCCCAGATACTATTATCTCAACTGTCGATTTGTTGTCCTACGGCTATTGTCTGCGAAGGGCATTACTTCACGGAAGCGTACGAAAAATAAAACGCTGCACGAACACAATGGCAAGCATTATCAGTGTGCAAATCAAAGTACTATAGATTGGCACTGAATCTCTCCTGATTTAAATCCAATGGAGAATCTGTTGTCAGTCTGCAAGGAAAGACTTCGTGGAATGGACATACAAAGTACTGTCATGTGCGCTTGGTCATGTTTCATTGAAAAATTAGAAAAAAGTAAATAATAATGTAATTACTCTTTTTTTTCAATCAAATTGCTCAAGGATGTAAAACGAACAAAGAAACTAAACATTAAATTTGTTCTATACTAAAAAGGACTTAATATTACCCCATTTTGACATTAACATCGTTTTGAGGGGACAAAATTATTGTTAAATTATTTCGATTATTAATTTTATAATTTAAACGTTATAAATGATATTGTCTTTAGAATATATACTATGTAAATGTTAGCAACGGCCATTTATTTTATCTCATGTTAGATATTTATATATTTAAATTATCGTAATATACAAATATATATTTATTTGATGTTTTATTTTTCATCTTTTATTTTCTATTTTGTATTTATGGTTAGGTTTTATTTTTATTGTTTAAAACGATTTATATTTATTACGAAAGATAGTTCCTAAGTGACAATAATCAATGTCAATAAATCAATACAACTTTGTAACTAATGTTTCATGCGTTAAGAGTTCATCAAATCTCTAGATCACTTTAGACGTGAGTCTGTGAGATACAATGTTGAACTAATTTCTATGCCCACACACTTCCTGTGTGGATGCTTTCGTTCACTATTTGATCACTTTGGAGAAAGGGAATTTGTGACTATTATTAATCTATCTCTCTTCAGTTATGAATTCAGCTCTCAAGCTAAAAATTTGTCGTTTATATATATATAATACGTTAAAAGATACTCTTCCTTTACCTTGCACCGATAGCTTAGGGATAGATTCTCTGACTGATGCAAATTCGGTCGAGTTTCGATCCCGGCTTGAAGCAATCGGATTTCTAGCCACACTGATGTGCTGTGACACAGTGAAACAGGCTTGTATGATATATATATATATATATATATATATATGGTGGTACTCGCTTGGAAAAACCTTAGGTATTTCGGCTTGTAGTTGAACAAACCAATACTCAAGGAAAAATGAGGAATAAAAAAAAGAAAGAACTAATAACATGGAATTGAGGCGAAAACAGTCGTCCAGAATTCAAGCTCAGAGTCCAAAGAAAAGACCCTCCAAAATGAGTAAAGTAACTGCGTAAAGTGTTCAATACACTAAGTAGAGCAAACCTAATATAAACCTAAATAGCAAGGTAAAACGACCTAGGTTTCACCTTAATGGATCATCAGGGTACAACTATATATATTATAGCGGTTTTCATGCATTCATGCAATTTTCAGACCATCATGAGGTCTTGACCTCAATGTTTAATTTTATATTTACATCAACTCTCTTTCCTCCCATCCTCTCTCTCTCTCTCTCTATATATATATATATATATATAAGGTAAAGAATCTGTTGGCATATAATCAAGTGTATCCTAGTAATTAAAATATTAAAACTGACCCCCCACCACAAAAAATTTCAATGCATTTATTAATACAGAGCAATATTATTCATAAAAATAAAAAAAACTGTCGAAAAACTAATACAGACGTTATCCATTTCAATGTTTCAGTCAGACGAAAGGCACGAGACAGGGGTAACGGGAGAGTGGGAGGTATCTATCTTAAATGTAAGAGGTTTTATAAAATTAAATCCAAATATTAACATTATGAAATTAATTTGGGTTTATATGAAGAATGAAAATTTAATATAAATTAAAAGAGGATAAAAAAAGGTCTAAAAATAAATTAAAAATATATAGATAAAAGAATATAAGGTATCAACGGAAAGAGAGTTGACGAGATCTTAGAGTCGGGGAAAGTTTATAAACTATAATTAATATAATGTAAAGAGGTTATAGAAGGAGGGGAAATTAAACATAGAAATTAGAATTAATTATGCTGTTGGCATTTGAAGAATTAGAGGGGGGAGAATATAATGGTAATATGGTAGCTAATTAGTTTAACCTATATTATTGAAATTTGAATTTGATTTTATGCCGAAATTTTAACACTAATTTATTCGTATATAGGATTAACACGAATATAAAATTTGTCACTTAGCAGAATGGTTTTCTATACTGCACCATTCATCTACAGTTTTTTAGACGTTCTGTACACACGTGTAGGGAGTATCTACAAATATGTGCATCTACACACACACACACACACACACACACACATATATATATATATATATATATATATATATATATATATATATATATATATATATATATATATATACATATATATATATATATATATATATATATGTATAAGTATTGGATTGTATGTATACGGAATAAATTCAAATAACCAAAAATACTATTCTTAAAAGAATGTCCAATGCAGAGTAGAGTAAAAATAAATTATTCGAAAATTATATCATAAGCATGTTATAAAATCACTACAAAAATAGCCATTTTTTTGTTTCAACACTTCTGGTGACTTATCATTTAACACCATCACTTGATAAGACACCAGAAGTGTTTAAACAAAATGGCTATTTTGTAGTGATTTTATGACATGTTTATTTTATAATCTTCGAATAAATTATATATATATATATATATATATATATATATATATATATATATATAATAGTCTACAAATTTGTTTATAGAATATTGTAATTATTGTCACAGTCGCCGATATTCTGCTTACTTTTTACTGTTTGTTGTCCCAACAAACACATCGTTATTCTATCACAAGTAAGGAAACATTTGGTTCGGAAATGCATCTCTCATAATAGAGAATTCATATTCTGGTGACACCACCGTTACTCGTTTGACTACCAAGACTTACCCACAGACATGGTTAAATTAGCTGCTCACCATTATTCATATAAACGACTTACATAGTAATAATTCATCAGTTTTTCAGAGACATCAGCAGATCTTCGTACAATGCAATTCGCGGCTAAGACTCCATAAAGAAGTGGTGAGAAGGGAAGCAGACAAGCCTGACGGAGCCGAAACAACGAACGACGATTCAGATGCAAATTGAGCGACACGGACAGCAAATATTTTTAAAGCAGCTGTAAATAAATGAGACATCTGATAAAAAATGCGGTTGAAGTTGTTGGAGCAAACTAATCAGTTGCCTCATTCACATCGCTTTGCAAATGGTCATGTACAATATGAGTCAGGCGTCAGTCTACGTCAAATACTCAGACATCTTTTCGCAGAATACGCCAGTTATTGCTGTCTATCAAAGAAATAATTTTGATTTGAAGCAGTCACACAACTGACACACGAAATAGCAAAATGAACTTTCGTTATAGAGAATTCACTGTCAGTGAAATTATTTTCTTTTGTAAAAAGGAAGCGATCAATAATTTATTTCTTTGTGTGAGCACACAAACAATCGATATTAAAATATTTTATTGATTAAATTACGATGGATCAAGAACAAACGGATGTATATATTTCTACCAGAATTCTATACTTGAAGAGAAGCTTACCTTAAATTATATTATAGGATAGCTAGATAGATAGATATTTAGATCTATCTATCTATCTATCTATCTATCTATCTATCTATCTATCTATCTATCTATCTATCTATCTATCTCAGTTCATATCTATTTAGCAATCTTACTTCATATCTATCTATCTATCTATCTATCTATCTATCTATCTATCTATCTATCTCAATCAGTTCATATCTATCTATCTATCTCAATCAGTTCATATTTATTTAGCAATCTTAGTTCATATCTATCTATCTATCTATCTCAAACAGTTCATATTTATTTAGCAATCTCAGTTCAAATCTATCTATCTATCTATCTATCTATCTATCTATCTATCTATCTATCTATCTATCTATCTATTTCAATCAGTTCATATCTATTTAGCAATCTCAGTTCATATCTATCTATCTATCCATCTATTTATCTATCTATCTATCTATCTATCTATCTATCTATCTATCTATCTATCTATCTCAGTCAGCTCATATCTATATAGCAATTTTAGTCGATTCACATCTATCTATCTATCTATCTAAACGTTATTTTTAGTAAGTACGTTCTGTTTGGTATTGCTGTCACTGTTTGTTCTCTTCAACAAAGAAATTGATAATGGCAACCGAATTTCTCAACCTAAGCTCGTTGCTAATATTTTCACTGTTTAAACAAAGAAAATAAATCAAGAATAGCAACACTAATACGTGAAACCAATAAAAATAAATAACATTTATATTCATAAGAAAAATATATTTCCTCCATGAGAAAATGGTCTTGTGATGTGTTCTTACTGACAATCGTGTTTGTTAAAAAGATTAGAGTACGAAAATTCTAGTAAGGAAGACTTAGTAGGCACTGTGCGACTGTCGAAATTGTTGTCGAGACTAGCTTGTAAGTCATCGGTTCATAGCAAAGTAACAAAATATATGCATGTCTGAATTAATATATTATCGATTGTACGTTGCATATTCGACAATTATACATTATTATACTGTCACTGCATTTAGCGATAAATCTCCTGACGGAAAATTACTGTTCGATTAAGTTAGCGAGAAAGTGAAGTGAAAATTATTACCTTGTTTGAATTATCACCGGTCATAATCAAAACAAAGGTATACACAAAATTATATGCTATAATTGTTTAGATGGTCGCCTGTTGGTTTCAATCTCGGAAGAATGACTACCCCACCACCAAAAAAAAAAAAAAAAAAAAAAGAAAATTAGGCAAATGAAATAGATATATTCTGAGATTTCTTGCTAACCAAAAAAATAATGCGAGAGAAGACAATGTGGGTAAAATTTGAAATTATCTATTTTTTTATAATGGATATCTATTGATCTCACGCACATGATTTTTATTCTTGCCTTGAAGTCATACTGCTATAATGACTTGACTGTATCCCTTTTTCGTGTAATCACTTTTTATTTAGTGAACCTTTGAGATTAACATTTTATAGATGCTTTGCTTTGCCTTGTACCTCATTATCTTGTCTCGTATTATTTTGCTCTGATCTTATTCCACGTTTTCTCATATTTTTGAGAATTTTGTCAATTCCGCTTAACTATCCCTGCCTCCTCAACAATCTCTTCATATAAAAATGAAACACGAGAAATAATAAATATATTATTTAATTTATGTCAGCAATGTAACACAATTAAGAAATAGTTATTTACAAAGTTTAATTTAGTTTTGACAAAAAGCCACAAGTAAGGATTAACTAACGAAGATAGGAGTCGTTACTTTTGACAGAGGAGAGAAGGTGCGTAGCTACAGGACAAATACAAAGTGTATACAAAATAATAGGATAGTTTAAATTGATGCAAATGTACTTAAAATAAGGCTACATACCTTATATACATGGTGTATCTTAAAATTTGTTAAAGGGAGCAAAAAATAAGGATGGTGTCGTGGTAGGATCCACCTAATTTGCATAGTGGAGTACCGACCATATAAATATGGTTGGTACCGGGAAGAGAGGGGAGGAATCAAGAGATTCAACCAGAGACTCTGCCCGACTGCGACTCAGTCAACACATTCTCCAGGAACGGTCTTACCAGGAATATACAAAAGACTATATGTAAATATTGTGTACACTTTCTTGTTTCAATACATTTTGTTCTAAGTACATTTTGTGCTGCATTATTATTCCATGCATTAGTCAAGTTTCAACAGATGGATTTGATGTATGCATGGAAAATAGTAGTATTAATATTTACACTATATACTCGTGTAACTCGGGATCTCGTGTATTGTACGACCCCCAAATCCCCACTTATAAAACACGATTTTATCATGTATCTTGTGTATCATGCGAGTTCCTTTTTTGAGACACCAGATTCAGTCAGTTATGTACCATGCGTGATACACGCTTAAGCGATCATGTATCTTTCGATACATGACGGACGACGGAGATTTTTTCCCGCAGTAGGTTGCCATTTCTTTCTGTCATAGACCAGTTGCCATCCAAGGCTATAGAACTCGGTCTGTCCGTCTATTTACTCATAGCTGGTGGGATTCATAACTTTCCCAAGGGTATTAGCACGTAAGTGAATGTAATTGATTCGACTGGAATTCGAACTCGGACCTCTGAGACCAAATTACAATAGATTAGTCTCTTTTCATCTATCTTTGTATCCCATCTTAAATAAGTTAAAAAAGTAACAGGTAATGATAAAAATATCGTTAGTAACGCCATTCTCGCTGCTTAAACGCGTACAGCCATAAACAACCGAACGAGAAACAGCTAAACCTCTTATAAACATCAACAATTGAAAAGATGCATATTCGCTGTTTGTATTTTATAATAAGTTACTAATATATAAATATTACGTGCATTATTATTGGATAGAGTTAAGTAAAACATCAGTTTCATTAAAATCATGTTTATTTTAAATACAGTTGTACTTTTTAACTACAGTATAGGGATTTATAGTTTGGCCAACGGACAGCAGTACATATACCAATTTTATATCTCGTGTATTAAAATTAGCTTGAAAGATGGGAGTTCAAATTTCGCATGATACGCGAGTGCACAAGGTATTTCTTTAGCTACAAGTGTAACATGTGTATTCGTTTAAATTAAAGGTAAGTGGTTAGAAACGAAGAAAAATGAATTTATTTTGTGACTTTTTTAAAAGAAGAAAGGACTATTGTAATATAAAATTATGCCTATATATGTATAAGTGTATGCTTATTGATTTTGATTAGAAATGAAAAATATGGATTTACTTTGGGACTTGTTAGAAAGAAGAAGTGTCGTCGTGTAACTTTTAGCGTATATTTAAAGGAATGGGGTTAGAAATGAGAAAAGATAATTGGGGCTGGTTAGATAGAAGAAAAAAATCTAACTGCGAAATGGCACCTACGTGTTTTTGGAAATAAACACAATTTTTGAAAACTATATATATATATATATATATATATATATGATATACCAGGAGTTCAGAAATTCTCCAACGTGGAAAAATCCTCATCAGAAGAAAAAGTGACAAATTTATAGAAGACTAAAGGCAGTTGTATTGTATGCCGTTATGAAATGAGTGACTTGATCGTGTCAGTTAATCGTGACACTTAATCGTATTGCGATAAGGATGTCGATCCCTATACAAGGTATCAGTCATAACAAGAACAAAAAACGAAAAGCTAATAAGTTGTAGAAGACAAGTTCGTTTATCAAAGAAGATTTAGCCGGTTTGAATAACTTTTGCTTTGACTGGATTTTTGGACATAGTTAACGAATTATTAGTGAAAAGGCGATGTGTTAACATAGAAAAGGAGTTGCTTCCTCAATTTAAGTGAGAATTTTTGACACTTATTAAACAGACAAGCCAGACCAGACACTGCTATGAAGGAGCGCACAAAAAAAAATTGGAAGTCTCTCACATCCTATCGTTATTTCACTAACAATTAGCAGTATTTCCCTAATAAGGAGACAATACCTGCAGTTAATTTAGTCTATACAAGTTGTGCAATTTGGCACTACGAGAAGAAACCTTTCTCCAGGTGAGACGATGCCTAATTAAATTTTCAGCAAGAAGTAAGGATAGGCCAAATTTAGCATATTGTTCCTAAGAAAGCCATGGAAATGAGCCTGGCGACAGTACCGACTCGCTCCATTTTCAAACAACAATGATATCCGCTACAACGATCACCAGTCTTTGCAGTCGAACGACGGACCAACCACCAACGATCAAAAGCCGTACAAATATCTTATAGCGACAACGTTACATAAGCAGAACTTATTTTTTTGATATTGGAGTATGTTTTAAATGCATTAAACAATCACACACACACGCATATATATATATATATATATATATATATATATATATATATATATATATATATAAGTAGAAAAATGTTTCATTCAATAATATAGACAAGTTTATTTATTTTAAGTATGTTCCTTTCATATTGTCTGATAAGCTTAATCTCATTATCGGTGAAAGACGAAATGAAAACACCATATTGATACATGTTTAAATACAATCTAAGCTTTCGGCTTACATAAGCCATTATCAAAGAGGACAATTTCAATATATCAAACAACACACGGACGAAACATGCATTAATATATATATATATATATATATATATGTGTGTGTGTCTGTATATATATATATATATATATAAGTAGGGCATTAAGCATGTAGCCTACATATGGAAAAATTATTTACATAATACATATGGGGTAGGCAGAGAGAACATTCATAGCATTGAGCTACGCACCCATATATATATATATATATATATAAATATATATATATATATATATATATATATATATATATATATATATATATATATATATATATATATAGTATAAGTAAAAGTTTGTAACTTAGCTGATTGATGTTACCTTCAGCATCCCGACGCCAGAGTTCGTAGACGGAACCATCAGTCCACACTTCAGTGGGTATCAGCAATTGACTTCTAATTTTTTCTCGATTTTTATTCACTTATCATTGGTGCAAGTTTTTCATATATTTTTTTCTGTGCTCGCGCGCGTGCGGCCACGCACCCGTCTGTGAGGATGTGCGTCCGCGCTCTTGTGCCCGTCTATGGGGATGCGTGTTCACGATTTTGTGCCCATCTGCGAGGATGTGCGTTCGCGCTCTTGTGTCCATCTGTGAGGATGTGCGTATGTAAAGGATGTAGTGATTATTTGTCCTGTCCTTCGTTTTTTTTTCTTCACATTACTCTCATTCTTTAGCTCTTTCTATTTTACTTGTTACTTTTTTTTCTTTCATTTGTAGCTATTTACCGTTATTTATTTCCATTTTTTTTTCTCTAGACGTATGGGTTTTAATTTTTGAGCATTCTCGTCTTTTTGTGTTCGGAAAATTGTATTTCATTTTTTACATAAATAATTGATATTAATGCTTAAAAGATAAATTAATACATCTCTTCACTTGGCTATTATTTCGTCTTTTTATTTGGTTTGGTGGTATCTTAAGTACTTAAAGTATTAATTGTAGGAAATTAGGTTTATAATTAACTTT